GAAATCAGATGTGCATTCCTTTCTTGGCTTTGCCATTTTTTGAGACAAGTTCTTTAGTCCAGTCTCAGTTTCTTTATCTGTGAAATGGGGACCATCACTCCTTGTAGGGTGGTTGAATAAGGTGAAGGAGATTACGTATCATATTAAAACATCAAGCTCAGAATAGCTATCCGCTTCCCTGACCTGAGGATTTTACATTTCCATTGCCGCTTCTGACATATTCTCATTATAGTCTATAAGCTCAGATTTTTACTTCAGTAAAATGAGAATGACATGCTCTATCCAGGCTTGTTGAGAAGGCTGGATGACATAATGTGCATGAAGGAGCTTTGTGAAATACGAAGAATTGCTTAAGCCAGGGGACAGCCACCTACAGGCAGTGGACCCAATCCAGCCCACCACCTGTTTTTTATTTTTTGTTTCTCTGTATCACAAGCTAAAAGTGGTTTTTACATTTTTAAATGATTGAAGAAACTCAAAAGAAGATGAATGTTTCATAACGTGAAAATTATAGGAAATTCAAGTTTCTGTGTCCACTAATAAAGTTTTATTGGAACAGAACCACAACCACTTGTTTGTGTGTAGCTGCTGTTACACTACGATGGCAGAGTTGAGAGTTGTGACAGAGACCGTATGACCTACAAAACTGTGAATATTTACTATCTGGTTATTTACAGAATGGTTTGCTGATAAAGGGCATAGAGATTTAGGGAAGTTTTTTTGAAATTTTTTTAAATGATTTTTTTAAGTTATTGGCAAAGCGCCTGTCATATAGTAAAGGCTCAATAAATAGCTGTTGTTGTTCTTCCTTTATTCAGTTATTAATTCAACAAATAATTAGTTTTTATTTATTTATTTATTTAATTGCGGTAAGATTGGTTTATAACATTGCAAAAATTTCAGGTGTACATCATTATAATTCTATTTCTGCATAGATTATGTCATGTTCACCACCCAAAGACTAATTACAATCCATCACCACACACATATGCCTAATCATCCCTTTCACCCTCCTCCCTCCCCCCTTCCCCTCTGGTAACCACCAATCCAATCTCTGTCTCTAGGTGTTTGTTTGTTGTTGTTTTTATTTTCTACTTTTGAGTGAGATCATACAGTATTTGACCTTCTCCCTCTGACTTATTTTTCTTAGCATAATACCCTCAATGTCCATCCATGTTGTCACAAATGGCTGGATTTCATCGTTTCTTATGGCTGAGTAGTATTCCATTGTGGATATATACCACATCTTCTTTATCCATTCGTCCCTTGATGGGCACTTAGGTTGCTTCCAAGTCTTGGCTATTGTGAATAATGCTGCAATGAACACAAGGATGCATGTATCTTTATGCATTGGTATTTTCCGGTTCAACAAATAATTATTGAGTGCCTTCTGTGTGCCAGACAGCAATGAACATAACAATAAAAATGCCTGTGCTCATTGGAAAGACGATGAACAGATCAGTAAAAATATAGTATATTAAATGGCTGAGGAGAAAAATAAAGGGATGGAGAGTAGAGAGTTTCAGGATGCAGGTGCAATTTTTTAATACAGTGGCCTGGGGAGACCTAATTGAGAAGGTGACATTTGAGTGAAAACCCCAAGGACACAAGGCAGCCCTGGGGCTACTGTGGGGTGCTGGGAGGAAGGAGTAATGTCCCAGGCACGGGAAAAAATAAACAGCACTTAACATGCTCCAAGAATACCAAGGAGTCGGCGTGGCTGGAGCGGAGGGAGCAAGGGGGAGAATAGTAGGAGACGAAGCCAGGTAGGGCCTTGAGGAAACATCTAGGACTCTGGCTTTTTCTCTGGGAGGGGAAGCAAGAGTTTTGAGCCAAGTGGTGGCACCACCTGACTTGCATTTATTCCAGATCAATCTGGCTGCTCCATTGAGAACAGACTATAGAATAGACTGTAGCAAGGGTAAAAGCAGAGACAGGGAGCTATTGCCGTGGTTCCAGTGAGACTGATGATGGTTTGACCCGGATGGTAGTGGTGGTGATGGTGAGAAGTAGATATTTTGGTATTTTGGGTGTATTTGGAAAGTAGAACCAATAGGATCAAAGGAAGGATTGGATGTGAACTGTGAGAAAAGGAAGAGTCAAAGATGACTCCACGTTTTCTGCCCCAGATTAGCACTGGAGTATGTAGTAGTCATTGATTTGAGAATTGAAAGATGTGGGAGACATTTCTCTGCTATTGGATGATGGAGAGAGGGCAGAGATGTGCAGGAATTAGGATGCAGGGGTGATGATAATGACATCATGGAAATGTTAGGTTGGAGATGCATCTTCCAAGGGGAGATGTACAGTGGGCAACTGGGTGTAGAACTCTGGAAATCAGGTCAAGTCTAGACATATAAATTTAGGAGTCTTCTACGGATAGATGGGATATGGTTATTGTTGTTATATCTACTAAGCAGTATAAGAGGTTTTCATATAAAAGAAAAATACATTGCAAACAACTTCTGAGGAGTAGAGGCCTGGCATCCGAGACGTTACCAAAAGCTGCAAATGAAAGTTCCTTCTACCACAAACAAGTACAGTGCCAGGAAGAGGTATAAAAAGGAAAACTAGCATTCATAATTTGAATTGCTCCTAATTTGCCTAATTGAGGAAACAGTTTTACGGTGAGTCAGATTATAATTTTATAAGTTGATTTGCAAAATCAATTCCTGCTTTATGGTGTTACATTTTTCGGATGTAGCATATTATCCCCATGGAAGTTAATAAGCCATTTGATGGGCACACACCCCCTTACATTAGTTAAGACAAGATTAGAAAGATAAAACTGTGTCTAATTTACTGACAAACAGAATATGATGCATCAGAATCCCATAAGGTAGTTCTAACAATTTAATTTCTGCTGATTCTCATAAAGGTTTCAGCCTTTAAAAAAAAAAAATCTTGACTAGCTTGGCTTCCTCTTTTGGTAAAAATCTTTTAGTCTGGACAATTATTCAAGCTGACCTGGATGGACCTAATGACTGCATTTTCCTTCTAAGACAGTCTGTCTCAACCTTTCTTTCATTATTGACTCCCCCCAACCAAGGAACCTTTTTAGCTACTTTTTTCCTAATCTCTACCCCATGAAAATGTTTCATTGTGGTAAAATGTGCATAACATAATGTTTATCATTTTTAGCATTTCTAAGTGTACAATTCAGTGTCATTAAATACATTCACAGCATTATGTAACCGTCACCACTATCTATACCCAAAATATTTTCATTATCTCCAACATAAACTCTGTACCCATTAATCCAATAATTCCCTATTCCCCACTCCCACCAGCCCCTGATAACCTCTTTTATACTTTCTGTCTCTATGAATTTGTCAATTCTAGTATCTCATATCGGTGGAAACATACAATATTTGTCCTTCTGTGTCTGGCTATTTCACTTAGCATAATCTTTTCAAGGTCCATTTATGTTGTAGCATATATCAAAATTTTATTCCTGTTTATGGCTGAATAATATTCCATTGTGTGTATATATGTGTATATATATATATATATATATATATACACACACACACACAACATTTTGCTCATCCATTCATCTGTTGATGGACGCTTGGGTTGTTTCCATCTTTTGGTTATTGTGAATAGTGCTGCTATGAACATTGGTGTACAAATATCTGTTTGTGTCCCTGCTCTCAATTCTTTTGGACATATACCTAGAAGTGGAATTGCAGGGCGCATGAGAGTTTAATACCACAGATAAACTGTTTATCTGTTTATGTTCTGTGTATATATGTATCTGTGCCTTATACATAAGAAGAGTAAGATTTCTTCACCACCCTCCCAGAACCAATTTTCACCTCCTTGAGGGGGGGTGATATTGCCCTCATTGAGACTGCAAGCTCTGTGGTCAAGATCCCAAGGTTTCTTGCCTCAGATGAGGTATATATATATGATACGTATGTAGATGAACTGCTTAGAGAGGAGTGAAGCCATGGATGATAAGGAAAATTACCCCAAAGACATAAGTATAAAAAGTAATCTTTATTCCCCATGCAGTGAAGTTATTTGCGTTTTACTTAGTCTTCAAAATTGACAACAGTTGATAAAGTAATGAACCCAAGAACGTTTTGGAAAATAGCTCTTAGCAGTTGTGTCAGGACCAAACCAATGGAGGAAACAGTCTACCTAAACTTTTGAAAACAGTGGAGATTAATGATGTTGTACTCCCACTGAGCCTACAATATCTCCAGAACACAAATAGAATAATTACAAGCAATTATTATGTAAAACATAAAAAAAAAAAAGAAAAAAATATGAGATCCAAAGATCAGGTTGTGGGGAGCCCAGTATCAGCAAGGTTCTGGATGGTTCTGTCAGCATATGGAGTACGTATTGGTATCTAGTTGGCAGGCAGTGGGGCAAGATTCCTGGCACATATTCACCTAAGTTTTATCATAGTTTGGTTGTTTAATGCTATGTTGTTTCACTATGCAAAAAAGAGATTGAGAAGATTGTATGACAGTTATTTAGAAAAACACAGTTTCAAATACCTGTTTGAAGGTATTGACCTTGGCCTGTTAGCGGTCAAGGAGACATGACCGCTAAATACAATGTGGGATCCTGGGCCAGATAAAGGACATTCATGGGAAACCTGAGTAATTCCTAATTAACTCTGCAGTTCAGATGATAGTCTTGTACCAATGTTAATTTCTTCATTTTAGTAATTGTACCATGGTTATAGGAGATACTAACAGGCAGAGAAACTGAGTGAAGGACATGCTGGAACCCTCTGTACCATAGTTGCAACTCTTCTGAGTCAAAAATTATTTCAGGATAAAAAGTAAAAAAAAAAAACCAAACAACGATAACAACAAAGTTTCTGGTAGCTCCTGAGTCCCAGAAGCAAACTCGTGACCGGCATTGCTGAAGAATGGTTGGAGTGGGGGTACAAATGCTGATATATATTTGTAATGTCAGCAGCTTTGAAATCTGATGTGAGAGTAATTCTCGTCTTTGTCTCCTCTCCAATTCCATTCCAGGGTGTGTTGGGTGCATCATGTAACTGGGATGTGGGTGTACCCTTTCCTGGAACACATCGGCCCAGGAGCCAGAATCATCTTTTTTGGGTCTACAACCATCTTAATGAACTTTTTGTACCTGCTGGGAGAAGTTCTGAACAGCTATATCTGGGATACACAGAGAAGTAAGTATTGTTTAGGGGAGCATAAAACAAGAGAACTGCTGTCTAAAAGAGTGTGTGCAGAGACCGAAGGAAAATTCCACTGTAGCACAGGCTCGCTTATGAAGAGCTTCATTTTTATAACCACAATATTAATTTAAGAGCTGCTGGCAGTTACCTGAAAGGTTTATTACTCACTTTGTCTTATTAGCTAGTAAAACATCCAAATCTAAGAGAAAAGAAGCATGTCTATAAAATTTTATAGGGAGAAATATAGTGTTAGCAGAAAAAAAATTTAGGAAGTTCACTCTGATTAACAAAATACTGCCTTAGCTAAACTGATCCCCCAATTAAATAGATAAATTATTCAAGCTAACCAAAGAATCTCATCAAAAGTCACCTAGATCTCCACTTTTTTTGTGTGTATGTGTGAGGAAGATTAACCCTGAGCTAACAACTGTTGCCAATCCTCCTCTTTTTGCTGAGGAAGATCAGCCCTGGGCTAACATCTGTGCCCATCTTCCTCTACTTTATACGGGACGCCAGCACAGCATGGCTTGATAAGTGGTGTGTAGGTCTGTGCCTGGGATCTGAACCCGTGAACCCCAGTCCGCTGAAGCAGAGCACATGAACACTTAACCACTATGCCACCGGGCCAGCCCCAGATCTCCACTTTTTCCGTCATCCTTTGTGTGGGTGTAGCAGCCTCAGAGAGGTCTCTCCATGATTCTGCTAGAACTCTAAGCACATTGCCTCCAGCCACTGTGATTCACCAGTAACTGTCATAGTCAAGGGTTGAAAGTGGCAAAGAGGTACGGGTACTAAAGGGTAATACTTCATTGCTGCAAAGCTGTCCTAACCTACGATTTGAATTCTCTTTTGTTTCTATTTATGGCAGAGCCTCCATCTTGGCAAGGCACATAGTCTTACCCAAGCTGTGCAAAACCTGTCCAAAGTGTATGTAAGATCACATACAAATGGGAAAATGGAAAAAGTGACAACATAGATATGTAGTGATTTGAGTCCTGCGGGAAAATCTATCCAAAAGAACGATGGTCTGGGGATTTTAGAGAGCTCTGGGTGTCTCCTCTGATACAATCACAACATTCTAGACATCACCAGAAAATGATCTCCGTTCCACAAACATTGAGCACCCAACTTGGTACCACACTCCCGGCCAGAAACTTGATCTAATTATACAAATAAAATATAGTATTGCATGGTTATTGAATTGGACTGTTTTTTGCATGTGGATCTCCTATATGAGTGTGTGCGTCAAGGTATTAGCCAATGTTAAATGGCTCAGAGGAATTTGAAGTCTTCTTTTCTCAGCAGCTGGCTTGATTTCAAAAAGTGATCTATTAGAAAAAGTGTCAAATTCTTTTTTGTTTTTTTTTTCCACTGAGGAAGATTGGCCCTGAGCTAACATCTGTGCCCATCTTCCTCTATTTTGTATATGGGAGGCTGCCACAGCATGGCTTGATAAGCAGTGTATACGTCTGCGCCCAGGATTCGAACCTGCGAACTCTGGGCTGCCAAAGCAGAGTGCACGAACTTAACCACTACACCACCAGGCCGGCCCCAAAAAGCATCAAAATTTTTTATTCGGTTCAGGCCACAGCTTGGGGGGCCAGAAATTAACCTTTTCATAATTTTCCTCTCTGTTCAATGGGAATAGTAATCTTTCACTATGAGTTAATTTACAAAAGTATTTAGTGAACTTACAAAAATATTTCGAGGACAAAATGTAAACTTTTCTCAGCTTCTTGAGAGAAAGGCCATCTTTAAATTTAAGCTAATATGTCCAATGTATGTTGTCAGGAAGTATTTATGACTGCCAGTTTCTCCTTGATGGTCTTGATTCTGACAATCATTTGACCATTTTTCTACTACTTCTATGAGAAAATGGCTTGAAAACCAGGAGATATAAAAGTCCAATCTAGACTAATAGAATACTGCTTTTTAGGGGCTTTGAATAAGAAGTTTGAAATGAATAGTGAAACTAGGGTTTTCTTGAATGATTTGTTCAGTTTAATTTGTGCCATTCTCTTAAGGAACGTGAGCTAAGGTTGACTAACATTTTGGAACTCATTTCAAATATAGAGATTAATTTTATCTACATGGGATCATCTAGTTAATTCCACCGAAGCAGATGTCTTATGTCAAGTGGGCTTCTTTTCCTTTATGAGAGGGGCTACAAATTGATGGCCTCCCTCAGATCTCACAGGCGTACATATTGGGATTTTTATTTTTTGACCCACACGTAAAAACTGGGAGATTTCACATAAAGGCCAGAGTTTTTAGCTTATCAGATATTTTGAGATCTGGCAACATTGAGCCCACTGTTCTCTTCTGGCAACAATGGATTAGAATTGAGGATCAATTGCCCGTTTGGATGGCTATCTAATTTTCCCTGGTTCTTACCTAGCCACTTTGCTCGGTCACATTAGCTGTCTGGTTCTGTAGGTAGTTGAGTTTGAAACTGCTGATTAAAAGCAGTGTGTGCCGGGTGTGTGTGTGTGTGTGTGTGTGTGAATGAATTGAGTACAATCAAGTACAGTATTACAATCCTGAGTACATTCACTACACTCCCAAACAAAATCCCCCAAGAAGCAGGAACACCACATTTGAGCCCCTTCCTTGTATCCGTAATGAGTTTTAATGGCTCAACATCCTCCACTTGGTTGTATTGTGTGGACTTCAACTTCAAGATAAAATCGTGTTATTACAGAATCTTCTAAAAGGAGATTAGAAATCATCTCAGGGCCGGCTCCATGGCTTAGCGGTTAAGTGCACGCGCTCTGCTGCTGGCGACCCGGGTTCGGATTCCGGGCGTGCACCAATGCACCGCTTCTCCGGCCATGCTGGGGCCACGTCCCACATACAGCAACTAGAAGGATGTGCAGCTATGACATACAACTATCTACTGGGACTTTGGGGGAAAAAAAAAATTTAGAGCAACAAAATTCAGTATTCAAAAATGTGATATCTACAATGCCAAGCATCTAGTGAAAAATAACCAGATATGCAAAAAAGGGAGGACAGGAAAATGTGACCCATAATGAAGAAAGATATCAATCAATAGAAACAGCTCTAGAAATGATAGAAAGGACAGACAAACTGCTATTATAAATATGTTCAAAGATTTAAAGAAAAATAAAAACATAATGAGGAGGGACATTAAAAATGAAAAAAATGAATCAAATGGAATTTCTAGAGCTAGATAATACAGTGTCTAGAATAAAAAATTCACTGAATGGGAGGAACTTCAGATTATACATTGCGGGAGAAAATATCAATGAACTTGAAAACACAACAATAGAAGGCATCCAAATTCAAGCATAGAAAGCAAAAAGAATGAGAAATAAACAACAGATATTGTGAAAAAATATCAAGTAGTCTAATTTATGTAACTAGAATCTCAGAAGGAGAAGAGAGAAGGGAAAGAAAACATATTTGAATAAATAAGTTCCAAAGTTTTTCCAAATTTGATAAAAACTATAGATTTCCAGATATAAGAAACAACAAAACTCAAGCAGTGTAAGCACAAAGAAACCATACCACAGGGCATCATAATCAAATTACTGAAAACCAATAATAAAGAAAAATCTAAAAAGCATCTAAGGGGAAAAAAGATACATTATATACAGGAAAATAAAACAAATAAAAAACTGCAGACTTGCCATCAGAAATACTGTAAGCCACAAATAACGCATAAATATCTTTAAAGTGTTGAAAGAACAGCAACAAAAACAAGACAAAAAATTTAACCTCTCAACCTAGAAATCTAAAATCAATGAAAAAAAAAAAAAAATTTAGAAATCATCTCAGCTGACCCTTTCCTTTTACTAAGAGGCAGCTGAGGCCCAGAAATCTTGTGACCCATCAAAATAGGGAGTTGCAGGGCCATCTTCTTTATTATCTTCTGACCGACGCTCCACCCAGTGTTATTTCTAGTGACAATCAGAATGTCACCGTTGGAAACCCAGACACATGAGAGCTCATAAACTTCACTCAGAACCGGGGACCTAGCTTATAAAATAACAAAATAGACCGACCTGATATGAACTGTGAATGAAAGCCCTTAAATAAGATGCTAAGTTAATAGTTAAGCATTTGCTCTTTTTAAACAAAAGTAACTCAAGGCAGCTTTGTGGATGTTGTATTGGTTTGCCAGGGCTACCGTAACAAAGTACCACAACTGGGTGGCTTAAACAATAGAAGTATATTGTCTCACAGTTCTGGAAGCCAGAATGTCAAAGTCAAGGTGTTGGCAGGGTTGGTTCCCTCTGAGGGCTATGAGGGAAGGGTTGCCTCCAGGCCTCTCTCCTGGGCTTGTAGACGGCCGTCTCCATGTTTACCTGCTGTTCTCTCTGTTTGGGAGGCTATCTCCCAATTTTCCCATTTTATAAAGACATCAGTCATATTTGATTAGGGCCCACCCTGATGACTTCATTTTAACTTGGTAAAGACCCTATCTCCAAATACAGTCCTATTCTGAGGTCCTAGGGGTTAGGACTTCAACATTTGACTTTTGAGGAGAGACAGTTCAGCCCATAACACTCTGCCTTCTGTCCTCCCAAAATTCATGTCCTTCATGCATGTAGAATACATTCCCAATAGCCTCAAAAGTCTTGCTAGCATCAACTCTTAAGTCCAAAATCTCATCTTAAATATCAACTAAATCAGCTATGGGTAAGAGTCGGGATATGATTCACTCTGAACCAAAACAGCTCTCCAGTTGTGAACCTGTGAAACCTGGCAGCAAGTTATCTGCTTCCAAAAAACAATGGTGAGACAGGCATAGAATACGCATTCCCTTTCCAAAAGGGAAAGATCGCAGGGAAAAAAAGAGGTCACAGTCTCCACCCAAGCCTGAGAGCTAGCCAGCCCCTGAACCACCTTCAATGTCGTTCTTTCTTCATTTCATCCTGTCTCTGTCCCTTTCAGTTCAGTCTGGCAGTGTTTCTGCTGGTACAAAATTCTCAAAAACCTTACTGGCTTCCTGTGCAATTCATGGGGTTCCAAACCATCAGACAAGAGGGTCCCCCACAGGTCTTTCCTGGCTTCTGCTGAGAAGGTTAATTGGATCCATGGTCATATGCCTAATCTCTTTAGCAAACAGTAGTCCAGACACACCCTTGGCTGTCGCTCACATTCTGAGGTCCTGAGGGTTAGGACTTCAACATACAAATTTGGGGGGCACGCAATTCAACCTATAACAGCTGAAATATTTCTGTACTTAAGCTAAGAATCTATTCCAATTCCGACGTGTCTGACTGAGGTGACCAGTCTTATGAAAGTCACACTTGATTCGACCAGAAATGGAAGTGTCCAAGGCAAAAGGTTAGGGTGAGGGTGCAGAAAGCAGGCAAAAGAGGAGAAAGGGGAAGAGGTTAGAGCCAGGCTGGTGTGACAGAAACCTCCACCCTTCCTCCTCCCCTAGCTGCCCATCCAGCTTGCGTCCCACACAGGCCCACCCAGGCCTCCAACGTCCCAGTGCTGCCCCCTGGTTGAGCCTTTCTCCCAGCCTGGGGCTTCACACATGACCGACTCGCTCAGGGTCAATCAGCTCTTCCCCTCCGTTCCAAAAGTGCATCCCGCCTCAGCTTTGTGACAGGTTTCTTTCCCCTTTTTGTGTGGAAATTGTACCTCCAGTTCTTCCAAATATTATTTACAGCTGTCTAATTTTTTCCCTCTACCTCAAAGCTGCCAAACTCAAGTAGGTGGGGAGCCATTTCCCCTGTCTGGGTCAGTGAACACCCCCTGTTCTCCACCCCCGCATTTGAAGATTCCACTCCTGCTGCCAAGTCAACCCATCTGCAGGAGAACACTTAGGAGGCAACAGACTTCTAAAAGAAAAGCAAGCGGTTACTAGCTCCTGATAGCTTCTCCACAGGAGAGGGAACACGAGACAAAGTTGAGACCCAAGTCATGTGTGCTGTTTCAACGGAATCTGTGTTGTGTTTTTGTGCCTTGGTGACCCAACAACTAAGGCATCTCCTGGCCTTCTCCCCCCGACCTATTCCTCCTCCCTTCAGATCTCCTTACGCCTCAATTTGAAGTTTTCCCTCATATGATTTCTGAGAAGTACTTTGGAAAAAGTGTTACAGATCTCTGCCAGTTCCTTAGTCATGAAAACCAAACCTAAAGACTGTCCAGGGACACCTGTTCAGAGCATACTACCACATTCCACCACCACCACCCTGCCCGCCTGGAACGCATACTAGGAGCTGGGGGGACGGGGGCGTCTTTCCTAATGGCAGCCCTGTCATGCAGACTCTCTGGGATTAAGGTTTATAATTTTTAATATTGTGAAGTTCCATATTTTGTTCCATTGCTGTCCCACTAGTCCAGCCTTCTGAGGCTTTCTCTATGTTCATTGTTTATGAATTGATTCCATAAAGATTAGTTGAGTTCCTACTATGAGACAGACACTGTGTTAGGTGCTAGGAATTTAATCCAGAACAAAACAGTTAAGGGCTCTGCCCTCGGGGAGCTTGCACCTTATAAAAGAATACCAACAAAAGCTGCAAACCGATATTTGGACTTCTTTTGTCCAGCACAAAGTCTCTGAGAATTTGGTGTTAGAAGAAAAATGTTTAGCTAGAAGCAAAAAAAAAAAGAAGAAGAAGTTGGGAGTATTTGCCAGATGTAACTTTAATTCATAAGATGACTTGTATGCTTTCATTGCCAGGAAATGAAACATCACTAACTGTTCACTACAGACAACAGGTAGAGGTCTTAACGATCAGGTACATACGAATCTCTCAGGAAGAAAAACAGGTTTATCAGGATTGGGTTGACTAGAAGGAGAACTTGAGTTTAAGTACACATGCGTATGGAAATAAACAGTTCTTGTGGCTAATAAACTCTCTGAGCTTTAAAAAAAATCCAGAGTCCTTGCCTTGGGAAAGAACAGGACTAAAATAAAACTAAATGAGGTCTGTTTGAAACTCATCAGCTGCACCACCCCTGTTGCTAGAAGCTGGTTACAGAGCAGCCTGGTTGGGGTTTCTGTGCAGAGTCAAAAACTCAAGAACTAGCTTGCGTCCCTCCCTCTCAGAAGGCACAAGAGCTAGGTGTGTGCCAGAGATGTTGTGTCCTGCTTGGTGGGAGAGGGTGGGGAGAGAGGTCACTGAGGAGCTTTCTGGAGAAAGTCATAAATGACTTTCCTCCTGAGCTAGGAGAAAAGGGATGGGTGCGGGTGGGTGGTGGAAAGAAATGTGGAGAGATGAGAGTTCTTTTAAAACAGCTTTGGCAAACCTGCTCACAGTTTAAACTAAGGTTCAAATAAAGTACTTTGCCTGTATTTCTAGGTATGGAAGAAGAGAAAGAGAAGCCTAAACTGGAATGAGATCCAAGTTTAAACAGAAGGGCTGGATTGAGCCGCCATTGAAGAAGCGTTCTCCCCGGGCTTTGGCAGTGCCGAAGAGGAAACATCAGAGAGAGCAGTGGAATCTGCCTCCACCTCCCTGCCCCAGAGGGAGGACACCTTTTATGGAGAAATATATATAAGAATAGAATACGGTTGTTTCCAAAATAACTTGCCCTCATTGTGTTTTAAAAACTAGAATTGGTCATTGGATTTTAATTTTTGCAATTGAAATTCCATTTAACCAAGGAAGAATAAAATTCTATTGTGTTTCTTGAGAAATATGTGGAAATCAAAGAGGCAGATGTCAAGCAAGGCATTGGTCCTACAGGTGGCTGGAATAATGAACCAGGGCCACAGTGTAAGTCTGGAGAAAACGTGATTGATGTTCCCTATTGCAATAATGTCACTGTTGTCTCAAAAGGGCAATATTAGTAATAATGACATCCGTTTAGTCAAAACCCTAAGCATATTTGGATCTCGTGATTTAATAATGTGAAATTTGTCCTAGATGCGAATTATAACTTTAATAAAGACCAAGCAATCCCTAATCTAACGCCTGCATGGTACATCTCCGAACTCTAACAACACGGAGGTCTTCTTTCTTATTTTGTTTCTATTGCTGTTGAAAATGGATGTACTGAACCTGGATCTTATAATTTTCTGATTTTAAAAATGTGTCTCTTTTTGATAACTCCAAAAAGAATAATTTTATTTAAAAAGCTAATTTACAAAATCTTTGATCATAATTATTTCTAAATAACACAATGCAGAATATGTAGTCGAAAACACATAAAAATAAATCTTAGAGAAATATAAGGAATGGACTAATAAAAATAAAGGCAGAGATTAAGTAGGGCAGCAGGAAAATAACAATGGAATTGATAATTAAATTGATTAATAAATTCAATATCTCATCTGTACAAATAGCATTAAAATATGCAAACTACTGATATGTTAACTGAAAAGAAAGAGAAAGCGAGAAACACAAATACTTGACAATACAAGTACAGATGTGAAACAAATTTTTTTTGTTTCTTCTTTTTTTTTTTTTGAGGAAGATTGGCCCTGCACTAACATCTGTTGCCAATCTTCCTCTTTTTCTTTTTTCTCCCCAAAGCCCCAGTAGCTGTGTATCATAGTTGTAGAGTTGTAGCTCTTCTCTGTGGGCTTGATGAGCGGTGAGTAGGTCCACACCCTGGATCCAAACCTGCAAACCCTGGGCCACCGAAGTGGAACATGTGAACTTAACTACTACACCACCAGGCTGGCCCCAAAACAAATTTTTAATTATAAAAATATGTTGTATTGCTCTATGGCAACAAATTCCTAGAACCCAATGAAAAGTGCAATTTTCAAGGAACATGGATTCAATAAGAATTATAAACCTGTAATTGACTGGCATTTATGGAAGACATTTTTGAATATTCAATTATCTATCTCCAATAAAAGAGTTGAGTCCAGAGTGTTTTATGAGCAAGTCCTTGAAAACTTTCAAGTCACAATTCTCACGTTATTTCAATTGTTCCAAGGTTACAGAATGATGAAACACTTCTCAAATTCTTTTTCGGTTAATATAACCTTCAAAATAAGGCTAATATAGCAAAAAAAAAAAAAATTTCTCACTTGCTTTAACTAAAATATTAGTAACATAAATCTAACACTATATGAATAAATTTTCAAAACTAAATAAGGTTTATTCTAAAACTTCAAGGATGGCTTGATACTAGGATTTTTCTTAAAAACATTGTCTCATTAATACACACACAAAAAAATCATATGATTCTCTCCATAGTTGCTCTAAGGCATTTGAAAAATTTTAACATTTATCTTTGATAATACCATTAGTAACATAAAAATATCCCATATCATGAGAAGGAATACACATCTCAAACACAAAAGGCATTCCCTTTTAAGGTCAGAAACATGATAAAGATGTCCACAACTGTGTTATTTTTCTGAGCTGTTTTGGAATGTTAGGTCTAGCATCAAACAAGTTATATTTTGACCTGGAATGAAAAAGTTTTATGTTAAAAAAAAAAGTTTTATGTAACTATAGAATTGATATTATTAATGGAAAAGAAAATTAAATATTGTAAGAAAAAGCAGAAATGGAGCAAAATCACCATTTAAAAGGAAACCATTTCTCCAGACGACTCTCAGAAGAGGAAACCTCAAGGAGGGGGAAATTTTTGAGGACTTCCTGGAACAATTCCTCTGGGACCCTGAGACTACCCCTCTCCTCCAGCAAATAGCACATAGCTATTTTAGCCACCAAACTGACACCTAAAGAAGTTGACGCCTGTGGGCTTTAGATGTAAAGCTGATTGAACTTACAGTGCAGCAGGTTGGATGCATGCATTACTGTTGTGTTTGAGATGCAATTATGTGATCAAATGTGGGTTTGGTTTGGTTTGGTTTTCTTGCAGTGGGTCATTTTTGCTTTGGGAACCGCAGCCCCTGAACCCTGGCCACACTTCCTGCAGGATGCCCAGGGCTGTCTTTCCAGGTGTGTGGACTGCACTAAGACATACCAACTGAGCCCAGGTGCTGCTGGCGCACCCACTGACCCATCACAGAGACTCTGCTTGCCCTGGAGCAGAATCCATCGGGATGACTCTACCTCCTGCTCTGTAATCACTGAGTGGTGAGAAAAAACTACCAGCAATTTCTCCCTTTGGCTTAGAACCTCCCAGTTTCCCCCACCAGTTCTCAGAAGGATGTTCCTGCTTTATCCTCTTCTCTGTGTGTGTGAGTGTGTGTGTGTGAGTGTGTGTGTGTGGGTGTGTGTGTGTGTGTGTAAAGACCAATCCACCATCCACAATCTCAGAGGGGAATGGGCTTCTAGAACAAGAACAATTTCTTGAACGAGAAAATTAATAATTAACTAGTGCAAATTAATAGATGAACATTTAACAGGAAATTGTACCAAAAATGCAGAACAATGAAAAGCTTCTTAAATTATTTTTCAGACTTGGTATACACCTCAAAATAAAACCAAAAGAGCACAAAATTGTACTTATCATAGATAAAATACTAGCAACATAAATCTAATACTACAATAAAATAATTTTTCATGACCAAATAATGTATATTTTTCTCCTGCAGGACTCTTTAAAAAGACAAATAAAATGGAAAGATATACTAGATTCTAGAAAAGAAGACTCCGTTCTTAAAGATGTCATTTCTTCCTACAAAAAATTATAAGTACTATATAACTCTATTCTAAAATTGCCAAAGTTTTTTCTTTTAATTTAACAGAAGAATAAACAAGTGAAAACAACGGAAAAATCCTGAATAGGACAAGTAATCAAAACGTACCTGTGCTGTTAAAACATATTATATAAAGTTCAATAATTAAAATAGTGTGGTATGGATCAAGAATAGAGAGAAAAATCAACAAAATAGAAAGCAAACCCAGAAACAGGCCCTAGTATATGCAAAAATTTCATAAATAATAAAGATGGCATTTCAAACCAGTAAGAGTATAATCAATGATTGAATGAGTAGTGCTATAACAAATGAATAACTATTTGGTAAAAAAGAAAAAGCTAGATTCCTCCCTTAAAACACACATACACACACACAATGTACACACATACAATTTCAGATAGGTTAATGAAATGAAAAAAAAGGTATAAAAGAAATGTAAGAAAATATAGATAAATATTCTATAATAGAGATATGAAGAAACATATATATAAAATACATAAATATATGTATAGACATATGTATATAATTTCTACATATATATGCATAATATACATTACGAAATTGAATATTATGTATAATGTATATGAGGAAATTGAATACAATATATATATTAGGAAATTGGATCTACAGGTCTGATAGCTGATATATTGTGGGGTAATTGAGGGAAAAACATCTAAGATGTGTTCAAGACAATCTTAGCACCATTGCCTTAAATAAGAAACCTGGAAGAGAACCATCCTGGGTTGGGGTTTGATGATGAACTTGACTTTGGATTTTTCTGTATGTAGGTCAAGGGCTATTTCAGTGAAATTGAAGGGGCAGAATCTAGATTCCAGGGAAGTAAAGAGCTATTGGCATTAGTGTATGGTAGAGAAGTAGAGATAGCAATTACAGAATACAGCTTCAAAAACAGAACTTAGAGCTACAGAACACAGGCTATGAGGAGAGTATGAGTTGAATGCAGATATTCTTGGTTTATGACTATTCTGGGTTAGACTTAGGAGGGAACAGATCTCCCACTGTCAGAGGAAAGAAGGAGAAAGAGACAAATGTCCTTGGAAATGAGTCTGCAGGACAAAAGACAAAGTTTATGGACTTTTTTTGATGGCTTTGATGGCTGTAGGTTTTTCCTCAAAGAACTGTCTGGAGAGAGTGAGATGACAGAGATGGGACTGGAGTCTGTAATACACCCTGAGAAGAAGAGCAGCATAGACTGCAAACGGAAGGCTTTCCAGCCCAAATGGAGGACCCGGGAGAGGGTTGAAGACAATGAACTTATCTTGGTGATAACAAAGACCATTTCGGGATTTCCTGCAAGAGACCTCAATGGGCAGGCAGAGTAAAGAAGTGGAAGGTTTGGTTTAGAACAGTAAGTGCCCCAAGAGGACAAGCAGGTGAGAGTTGGGGGTATTAGCAGGAGTGGGTGGAAGAATGAGTCATGACATCTAGAAGGAACTGAAGAAGAAAGGATGACAGAGGACCAACGTTGGAACACAATATGATGGTCCAGAAATCGGCAGTCTCAACAAGGTTGGAAAACAGATCCATCAAGGAAATGAGGGCAATAGAAGTCATGATCAGAAATTAACAGTTGGAGTTTAACATCTTAGAAGTGCATGAGATCATACTATTTTTTGCTTTTTCAGTTCATCTGATGTGGTAGTAATGGCCTAATCACCAGAACCTTTAAGTATGTTTTCTTTCATGGCAAAAGGGACTTGGAGGTGTGATTAAGTTAAGGATTTTGAGATGTGGGGTCTCCCTGGATTATCCAGTGCACCCAATATAATTACAAGGGTCCTTAGAGAGGGGGGCAGGATGGTCACAGTGAAGGAAAGAAATGTGACCATGGAAGCAGAAATTGGAGTGATGCAAGGAAGGGGCTATGAGCCAAAGATTGCAGGTAACTTCTAGAAGCTCGAATAAGCAAGGAAACAGATTCTCTCCTATAACCTCAAAAGGAATATTACCCTATTGACA